TGCACGCTATCTTCTACAGGCTGTTCGTCAGGAGTTGGATCCGGGACAGAGGATGCATGGGCTGGTGGAGTGGAACATCGAGGCTCCATGATGATTATACCAGCTTTATTCTTAGACAAAGGGGGTGGTTACTGAGTGGATATAGCCTAGAATAATTAACGACGTCGTGTGTGCAAATATGGCATATTTGTGCCACAACTGTTGGTCCTATTTATTGTTGGTGCTCCGAAGTTCGGTGCTCCATAATTTCTCCCAGATGTGGCGATTTTTGCGCCCTTGGAAAGCCCCCTCTTCTTTGTAAATCGCCAGTTTCCGAAGCCATAATAAACATAAGTATTTGACACATCCTAAATTTAGCTATCCGACGGACAGGCCACTTGCACCATGGTTATATTGGCAATTTGGTTGACGTGTTGAATGTTGTACTTGAAGAACCTAAAAGCTAGATTAAGGCTAGGCTACAAAGTATAAATCCTCGAAGAAGGGCCAGTGGTCAATTTTAATAGAGATATTTGCAGTTGGTAGGAGATTATGTAGGTGTTTTAAACGATAATCATTGGATGTGGTCTCAATCAGGGTCATCCACTCGTCGAGTCTCATTACTCCATCTTTATTGTATTGCTACAATTCGTCCGTCGCGCGCCTTTACCAGCCTGTATAATCATTATTAATAATACATTCATCAACTAAAACAACTTTATCCTTCTCGCACCGTTGATAGAAAAAAAAAGTTTTCTCGAATATGACGGTTTGAATTGGTCAACAATGAGCGGTCCATTTGGTCAACACGCATGAGCTTGTGCAGCGTATTATTGTCATCCATGCTAAGTCAACTACAGTACAAAGTGTAACTAGTCTGGGTCAGACTAAGTGGGAATCGGATTTTTAAAACGCGCGGACACAGTTAGCATGGACTCGAAGCATCCAGACTAATTACGCACCCAGACTATTTGCGAAGCAATGCAAACAGCAATATCAATCTTATATGGGTCAAAATATGTACCAATTTATATTTGCTTAACAAAAACGGGTCACTGTCATTACTCCTTTCCGTTTTCGAAGTTCTCATTGTATCTGGCACCAATATCTCTAAGAGGAGCTGAAAGTTGAGTTACTTCCCATCGCCCATTCAATCCCTTGGACATCCCACACTTTATCATAGCTTTTTGAAAAAGCTGAACCCTTCTTGTATATTTGCTGGTTGGCGGCTCTCATGGAACGCAAAACCAGAGAAAGCTAAACTTGTTGTGGATGTTGCAGAGAACTCGGTCCCACTTGATCTGTCAGCGTCGTCAAACACGGATGACACGACGGGATCTGAGCGCTGGTTTTGGTGCTGTTGAGCATTAGTAGTTCCAGCGGCAGACGCTACATTATAGGAATGACAACACACATGTTCTCCCTGCTTTTTTAAAGCAACCTCTCAAAAAAAACAACAAAAAACATGGTTGCGGTTGCCACACACGTCACATATATGTGAAACGCTAGACGTATTCCCATCTCAGCCACTGCAAGTGTATACATGCTCAACTATTGTTGTCTTCTGCTTGCTCTTTTGAAATGAGCTGTCCACATAGAACCCAAGGGGCCGGTGTGGAATTATGGGTCTCAATTACGGTTTACTCCATATTAATTAGGATCGATGGTCGTAATTATTCTGGATTGGGAATCTAATTCCCATGGGCACAATTAGTCTAGACCAGCCTAAT